TCTTCGATCGAGTTATCATGTGGCTCACCATTTACTTACTTGCACGTACTCACCTAGCATGTTTCCGGTGGACCCTTCGTCAAAGTCTACTGATGCGTTCAGACATGCGCGACATCCTCTCCGACTAGTTTCCTTACTAGACATCAGGACAAAACACGTATTCGAGTAAAAATCGTCTAAACTGACTCCATCCAGCTCTGTTTACTTCAGATCTTTGCGAAACTTCGAAATCGCCCCCTTCCTTGGGGGAATGTCCGTAAGATACAGAGCAGGACCGGTACTATCATGATGAAAACTACCCAAGAGACAGATGGGAATTCCTGAAATATGAGTATACCATGATTCGGACAGGCAGAGGAGCCAAGGAGGGCAAACGCCACTTATTTTGTAGTTCGATAACCCGTTCCTTAGTTTACAGGTCTATCTTGTAGCCCAGTCTGCCGGTGCAACAATGACTCATCAGTGAGGGTGTAGTCTACTGCAATGTACAAACGTGCCCAAAGAATGCAGGCTATTCTTAAAGCTCGCTTATTTCCACCATGAATCTCTTAATTTCCCACCAGTAACGTAAGACACAACTTGCCAAAATAAATGAAGTATTGAAGTCTTTCAGTCTATTCTTAAAGCTCGCTTATTTCCACCACGAATCTCTTGATTTCCCACCAGTTACGTGAGAAAAAGACACAGTTTGCAAAATAAATGAAGTATTGAAGTCTTTCAGCTAAAATGACAGTTTGAAAATCGTTTACAGTTGAAAACGTATTGCCATCTGTTCCCAAGTTTTCCTGTTGTCCTTTTCATTCGACCCCAGGAACAACTTGCGCAACTCAAAGAACGTTTATCAGCGATTCAAGACACATGCATGGCTAAGCCTAGTCAAACTGTGGCTAAAACTCGCGAGCGTGATGTTGAAGAGCATTTGGCTGCACGATCACGAAAGAAAATCACTGGTCCAGTCACCACTGCACCACAAGGAGCGGCACCAAGACGGGTTCTCCCGATTACAACACGGTCGAAGCGTACTTCGCCAGTGCAGCCTGTAAAAGGTAAATTGATCTGACCAGCTGAGGCTAGTTGATTCGCCGTGGTTGAAAAAAAAACGATTCTAGGAATATTTTGGTGATGTTTTCATACGTCAGTGAATCACACCTTGCCCAATAGCTCCTGGCATTTACAGGATGTCTCATAATAGACGCAAAAAATGATATTCATGTTAAAACTTTAACATCAATTTTATCATTTATCATTTTTTATATAAACATACACACATTATGAAGTTTTGCTGCAGAAAAATGGCATTACAAAAGATTTTGAAAAAAAGACAGCTCCTTTCTCTTAAAACATGTGGGAGGCGGTATGAGATGTGAGACACAGCATGTTTAACTTTTTCATGTTTTAACTTTTTCGTGCACACTCCTCTTCAATTCTTGCTCTTAACTCCACCAAATTCTTCGGTTTTTTTTTCTGATATAANTATTTTCATGGTATACGCGAGCATTGATCATTCCCCAAAACCAGTTATCCAGAGGTGTGAGATTGGGGGACTGCGAGCCACGAGCAATCACTGTCTCATCAGAAAATTGCTCTCGGAGTTAAGTTCTCAGTTGGTCTGAGTAGTGGGGTGGGGAGCCATCTTGTTGAAAGACGGTCAGTGACTTCGTGTGCTGCTTGAGTTGCGGGATAACATGCGTCTGCAGCATATGGAGGTAACTGTCGCCGTAAACCGTTAGCATCAAAGAAAAAGGGACACAGAATACAGTTTGAGGAGAATTCCATCCACACACAGAGAGATAAGGAAACGGATATTATGGGTGAGGTACTCGTGAGGAGCTTCACGGGACCATATCACGCAATTGTGCTTGTTGATTACGCCAACCACAGAAAAATTTGCTTCATCGCTCCATAAGATGTTGGGAACGATTTCTTCATTGCCCAGCAGCCAGTTTTGTCTTCTTCCGTGATGTTTTGTAACAAAGTAAAATGATACGGGTATAGATGACGGTGGTGTCTCATAATACGATGCACGTTGGCGCGCGGAATGTCAGTCAACTGAGACACCTGAGTTATGGGCGAAGATGTCATGGTGCTCTGGGACTGAAGTTGCTCGACGGGATTCTGTACAATAGGCGCCCTTTCATCACTCAGAGACTTTCTCCCTTTGCCGGAAAAATACAATACAGATCCAGTGGACTCAAATTTCGCAATCAAGCGTGTAATGGTCGACCATGTTTGGTTTTGTAACCACGAAGTGCAGCGGTGGCGCTTTCACCAAGGGAATAATAGAGTTTCACAATTTCAGTGCGCTTACTGACAGCCATCGTGAACAAAAGAAATAATAATAATAATAATAATAATAATAAGTTGCACAAAAAACCTTCTTTATGTGGCTAAAAATACTGAAACATTTTACAATCCTTTCCTCATTACCTACGTTTACTTACCCAATTAAATTTTGCGTTTATTATAAGACGCTCTGTATGTAGCTGCGAAAGGTCATCTCCATACCTGGTTGGATTCCTTCGGTTTTCATTCTGAAAAGCAGGAGATACGGATATTTTTCTGGTGCATTCTGGATTTACTCTGTGTGGTTGTGAACAGATTCTTCCATTGAGTTTTTCCAGGTTCTGTAGGTTGAAGCAGTTAGTTGAAAGCAGCGAATGCATTACTGCATAGGTTGCGCTGGCTTGGTCACGTGCTGCGTATGCCAGTCGACCGACTTCCTCGAAGGGCTCTTTTCGCCCAACCATGTGAAGGGTGGAAGAGAGCCAGAGGCGGTCAAACAATGACTTGGCAGCGAAGTGTGAAAGCCATTACAAGCAAACTTAGCAGCGCTGGTCATTGCCGTCTTCCTGGATCGGAACCCCGAGACGGTCCACATCAATGTTTAGGGACATTGTTAGACATGGCCCAGTTGCGCTTTCAATGACGCTCGTGCATCCAAGCTATTGCCTTCAATTCACAGTCCCTTCCCAACCGCCCACCTAGCAGTCCACCTACAGTGCTGTACTGACGTACTAATTTACCAGCTCCTACCTTGAATACGCAGCTACCCTCTCCCCCGAATCACCAATGAACGAAACTGTGGCAGGTACAGTCACTGTGCGATAAGTACGCGGTTCTTACATCTGACACTGATGATGATGATGATGGTTACTGATAGCGTAAATTCAACTATCTTTAGGCTTTTTCCCAAAGTAATCATACTTATGTTTGGCCATCTGTATGGTTGCCGAGCGTCGTTTGGCTCTCGAGCTAATTTCAGTTCGATAATTTTCCCACTTCGACCAATTAAAGCAGAACACGCCGTGATTTGAACTCTTCAGGATAGTTAATGTGCCCACATCTCGCGGTAATCGGTGAAGAAGACAACGAGAACTTGCTTTAGTATTCGGATGGGCGGTGGTTCTGATGGAGGGTTTCTACAGAAAATCCACACGGTGGTATACACATTTCTATAGCCTCGACTCTTACGCGTAATGTGTTACGTCTACATAACAACGCATCACAGTATCCCGAATATTGTACCAACTGGATTCAGCTGGATTCAGTTGAGTCTCTTGACAAAACCAGTTGAAAGTGCAACTGGAGTTCAAGCAGAGCATAAGGTCGACGGAAACTCGGAAACTCCATCTTCATTATCGGCTTCAAGAAAGGTGAAGCCTCTAGCAGGCTGTCGATGAGTCTTTGGCGACATAGTTCACAGCATGGTGTGACGCACCATCAGCCCGTGTCAGGACGAGGGTTTGCTCATCTATTCCAACCATTTTCACCCAACTGGCCTCGACACAGTGAGTAGGGAGTAGGGTGAAATGAGAACTTCATCAGTCTCACTTTGGTTCTCCCAACGTTTTGAAAATGATTCTTTTGCGCAGAACATCAAGGACTAAAATTAGTGCTAGCTCTCAGCTCCTTAGCTTGGAAGTTGCTCGAACCACACGGAAATGCCTCATCCACACAGAAAGCGCCTGTTATTCAAAAACAGGTTCTGGTACGCAAAAAGAAAATAGCCTTTTTTCTTACTAAATGGTAGTATTGAAAGGGGTGTCGAATTACACGTTTGATTCGTGGACCACTTGTATTCGACTCACATAAATTTCGTTCAATTTTTTTCCATTTTGATTGAAATTAATCAGCACAGAGCACGCCGAGGAAGTTCCGCACATCCGTCGATAAACCGTCTACATTTGTGCAGTTCGGACTTCCTGCTGCCTATGATGAAGGCTCAGAAAAGATGAAAGCGTCTCGAAAAGAGATCCATCAAACGAATCATATGGAGGATCCCGAACGAAACCTTGCTGAATTGGCCTCAAAACTACAGTCTAGTCAAGCGGAACTAGATAGTAGGCTGATGAAGTTGGACGCTAACAAGTGAGTGTGCTTCAACGGCGACTGTACTAATGCATAAGTCTTCAAATATGTTGTCCAGTTCAACCCAACCGACTTCAAGTTCAGGTTTTTAAGTTTTCAATTCGATTGGAGTTCAGTATAGAAGCTTCGAAATTTACTTACTGAGTACTAAGTGTGGCAAGGTGTCAGTCACAGGGAATATCTTATCGAAAATTCGTTCCATTCGAACACTAGGACTCATTCAAACGCGGTTCCACGGATGAGTAGTCAGGGGTGATCGGTAAACCAGGAAAACTTTTGTGTTTGTCAGTTTTTTCTAACGTCAAAGCAAGAGTTAGATCACTATCGCAAGCACTGCTTTCCAGTCAAATTTGTCTCCCATTGCCTAGTCACACAACGACAATCGCTGTCTCAGAACCATAGCTCGTGTGGGTTGGTGTCAGCGAATCCGTAACGAGGCAGTTAGAAAGCGCGTTTTCGGTTGTGCAACGGGTACTTCCATTGAAGAATGTGTCCAGCACCAGAAGCTGCGTTGGTTCGAACACGTGTTGCGTATGCCGAACCATCGTTTGCCGATGAGAGTGCTGCTTCCCATGCCCGATTCAGAGTGGTGTAAACAGAGAGGTGGCCAATCCTTGACTTGACAGAGGATTATGAAGGAGATCACGAAACGCTTGGGTGCTGTCGGTGCTACTCGCCTTCCAGGATTGGGACGGCGTGATCCTCACTGTGCCTGGTTGGGGACGCTGCAAGATATGGCTGCCAACCGATGTCAGTGGCGTTATTGTTGCCAGTTTCTATCCAGATTGCCTGAGTGAATGTCTGGAGGTATAGGCACCTCGGAATGATTGTGGTAAGCTAGCACTAAGTCCCTTCCCCATCCATCTTCACTCTGTTCCTTACAATAATGCTTCCAAGTGAATCATGGTTGTATGGTAGTGAAGCATCGGTGTTGAACAATGATGTCGTGCTGTCTATGATGATGATGATGATGATGACGATGATGATGAGTAACCAAACAGATCTCCTACCACCAGCCTCCTTCAGTGGGCACACGTTTGTAAATTGCCTAGACACAGCTACCACAAATAATGTTTCATCGGAAGTCGGTGCTGTTTGAAGTTTGTGCTACGGAGTGCGCACTTCCATCATTGTTAGAGAAACACCACGTAGATTGCGTTGTGTACACGAAACCTCTACATCCTTTCCTTGTAGGCTTTCCTTACCGGAGAGATCGGACCAATTCATTTTCCACCAAAAAGAAATAATATCAATTCATTCTGGTCTCGAACGATTTGGTGTACAATCGAAACGCCAGACTCTCAGAAAAGGCCATACAGGATGCAATGGGGATCCGAATCCCCAGAAAAACATGGCGAACAGGTTTTCTCATAAACTAATACCAAGCGCCTAACAATCAGGACCAGCAAACTTATTCTAGAAAAATCGAGGAATGTTCCTTCTTATTCATGTGGTACAAACACTACGGTTACTCCTCAGAGCATTTTAAGGAGCGCTGCTGGGGGCTTAACTGCATTAAACAAAACGGATGTCTTTTAAATGACGTCTTTTTTGTATCGATTTTCTCGGAACTGGGTAAACACAAGTGACTCTAAATTGGTGAATGTGAAATCATATGCATCACTCGACAGAAAACACCATCATTTTTATGTAGATACTAAATATTTTGAATTATGGGGTTCCGTAAGTATTTCGTCGTGGCGTTCTTTGAATTAGAACTTTTTGGACACACCCATCCACCACCCACAGGTGATCTATGCCAAAGTCAAAGTTCTGCCTCATTCCCTAAGTATGTTTTGAGAAGTTACTCACCAGATTGCAACTTACGGGTTTGAACCTGACCTCTCCCTCGTGAAAACCAAACCTGAGATGAGACCGCACTTGGGAATCTGTTCAGCTGGCCTCTACACAGTGAGACATCTGTATTTCTGCTAGACCAGTTGTAACATGTTTGCTGCACATGACCAGAATTCAGTTTGCAACACGGTCAAGGAGATGTATTGCTAAAGTGAAACTCGAATCCGGTGCTCCCCCTCTTTGACGTGACCTTTCAAACAAGGGTGGTGTAAATTTGAATGTGATTCCCAAAAGGTTTTGTTCCAGGAACTCAAAAAGAAATTAACCAAAGTGGGTGACTAGTGTTCCGCGAGAACTGGAATAGCGTATGATCAAGAGCAATAGTACCCCGCATTTACGGCTATTTCTGAATTGTTCGGGGCTAACTTCGCCACGAAAGAGTGCCAGACTACGGCCGAAACCAGTGAGGCCTTAAGCAGTCAACCAATCTCCTAAAAACTATTCAGCTCTCTTGTTCACGTCATAAGCAGCAGCCTCATTCTTTAAACTAGTCTTTTGGGTTCTGACGAAAAAGCAGGGTAACTGGGAAATGGTATGCAAGATCGAAAGCCTTACTAATTGATCGTAACTATTCACCTGATCTGATCATTGCGCCAGCTAGTACAAGGATGATTAGCCAAGTTTTCTTTTCAGTCCAAAGATGACATCCAATTTTCGGCAAAAATGAACCCCATTTTTATTTAAAAAAAGCCATTTTTTCCGTTTTATACTAAGTCATTTTATTTCCTGCGGTAATTTCATCAGTGAAGCCTTACTCATCATCATCATCATCGTCATCATCATCATCATCATCATCATCATCATCATCATCATCATTATCATCATCATAGACAGCACGACATCATTGTTCAACACCGATGCTTCACTACCGTACAACCATGATTCACTTGGAAGCATTATTGTAAGGAACAGAGTGAAGATGGATGGGGA